AACGAAAAATAAGCTGATACTTCAAACAAACAATAGAATAACGAAAAGGAACCAATAAAGCAACTGAATAATAACAAGTATTAGTAGATAAGGATTCTGAATATACAAACGATAATAAAAAGAAAAGGGTGAATCGATTCAAGAATAAATAATAAGTTAGTAGATGTCGAACAGGACAAAGTCCTGGAATAATAATATGCAACAAGGATACTCGGTATATATGTAAAGTGATGATCATCTATTGGAAGAATCTACCTTGTTAAATACTCTCGATCCTCAGATGGACCAAACCCATGCTCAACCATCTTGGGATCAACTTCTTCAGCACATGACAAACCTTATATCAAGACAACAAGAAGCCTGACATGAAGCAAAAGAACATTACTTCATACATATACCAGTATTCACAAGCAATAATCAAGACCCTATAGAATGGCTGGAAGCTGTAGATAGGGCATTTGAAGCTAACAATATAGTAAGAGATAGAAGACTTTCTGTAGTTGGCATGTATTTCTCTAGGCTTGCAGCATCTTGGTGAAAAGATCAACGAGTAAGAAGACTGGATCTTCAATACAGAAACAACAGGTTATATCCAAATCAGAGCTTTGTATATCAATTTTACTCTAATTTTTGTACACACATTTTGATAACTTAATGGAATACAGAACTATTGGCAAGGAAGCAACATGTTGGAGAAATAGTCAACCAGTATGTGACAGATATGTTGACCTTGTTCTGATGAGTAATGAAAGTAAATAATCAATACCCAGAAATTGTAAAAGCACAAATGTTTATACAAGGTCTTTGCCTGATTTGTCGATAACCCTTAGCCTATTCATGCCTAGCATGTTACAAGAAGCAATCAATAGAGCTCAGACATACGAAATAATATTCACAAGAGGCTTGGCTACATGTGGACCTGTAGCAATTTACAATAAAATACTAGACTTTTTATCTCAACCATCTTATCTGAAGCAACAATGGATGCTCCAGTTCCAGCAACCATGGATGCCCCAGTCTTAGCAACAATGGATGCCTCAGTTTCAGTAACAATGGATGCCCAGTTATAGCAACAATAGGTGCTACAGCCGTAGCAACTACAAATGTCATGATTTTACATGCTGACACAACCATCGTTGTCATTTCAATTACTAGTAAGCCCACCATTGGATATGAAGCTACAAGATTCGATGGGCCAGATGATTACTTTATTACAGAAGGTTGCAACAGCAGTAAAGAATAATAATAATAATACTAGTAATAATAGCTGTTCTGTAATAAATGAGAATTGAAGAAAATGAAGTAGTTGTGGACCTATTTGTTTCACATGTCAACAACCAAGTTACTATGCAAGAGAGTGTCCAAATGTTGTTTGACGATCAAATGATGCCTGAAATGCCCCACCTGTTGCAAATTTTGAAAATAGAGGCTATAATGAAAATTGTAATAATGTACTAGTCAATGATAGTTCTAGTGTGCAAGCTATAATAGCCCAGATAGAAGATGGATTTTAGCATTTAAACTAAATAATGCACCTTTTGAAAGTGAGTATGCATTGATGTCTAAAAATCCTTTGGTAAGAAAGATCGAAAAAGTCTACTTAACAAAATAATAACATAAGGATGATGATCATCCTAACAAAGTTGAGGCCCTACCTAGTAATAAAGCTGTTAGAAAAATGGGTTATATGAACAGGAAGGCATAGATTGAAAAGACAGATCTTATGAATAAGACAAAAGTAGAAAAAAAGAAGAAAACCAAACCAAACCTATAGACCACCAATATTAACTGGAGTTTAGCCCTATTCGATTATGTTAGATTTGCAGAACAAAAAGACAGATATAATCTACATCCAGTTGTTTCAAGCTGCATCAGTTGTTAGAAAAGAGCTATCAAGGTATTGCGTCCTGAAAGAGTTGCCAAATCAAAGTTTGTCAATATTTGGTTAGGTGAATAAATAATAAGTATATGACATCCATGTATTGTGAAGCTTACGTAAAGACATGCTGATTATCTTAATCTTGAATAGTGGATCTTCAGGTTGTATTGTCTCTGCAGGATTTTTGAAAGAGGCTAAAATTGCAATTAATTATCCTCAACCGTGTTGATGACTAGAATCTACAGTGAACAAAAATGGCTTCTTGGAGAAGTTAATCATTTCCCTGTAACTATAGGCAGAGTAACTATTACTTTTAAAGCTATAGTAACAAACACCAGGAATTATGCTACCATTATTAAAAACGACTGAATGAAGAAAGCTAAACAAAACTTGATTAGAAATCTTGTGAATTAACAATTATAGATAATGATAGAGAGATAAAGATTTTGACTGAATATTGTAAGCTGGCAAACATCAGTGATCATGTTGTATCAAAGAATACAAGTGTCAAAGAGAAAGAAGAAAAGAAAAAAGAACAATATAGTTGATTCCGGTAACAATAACAAAAAAAATGATACAAGTTCTGATGATTCTAAGGAAGATACTGAAAATGATGAGGAATTAATCAACTAGAAGTATTTCTTTCACGAGCTTTGTCCTATAAGAGCCTTTGATAAAGTTTGTGGCTTGTGTATAAAAAACAAATATGATAGTAATGATTGTGTCATAAAAGAATGTTGTGAGGATAATTGGGTTGTATACTTTCTAAATAATGTAGAGAATTCAACCCATGGATTAAACATCAGTGAAATGACTGTGGAACAAAACTAATAAATGTTTGAAGTATTAAAAAATTACCAGAATCTTTTTGCATGTGAACTTTATGAGTTGGATTATATAATAGTTGTGCAGTATGAGGTCTATATAGAAAAAGGTTCTCTAATCAAGCAATGCTTCTACCTATCTCTTGAGTTAAGCACTAATTTATTAGTCAGAAAAATTGACATTTGGAAGAAACTGAGTTGATAAAGCTATCAAACTGCCTGTGGGCATCTCTAATCATTCTAATAAAAAAAAATTGAAAAACTTTACTTTTGTATTAATTTTTGTAAGTTAAATAAGAGGACAAAATGCGATAGTTTTATCTCCGATCAATAAACTTCTAGGAGCCTTGAAGAATTCTGCGTAATATACAAAGTTGGATCTTGCAAGTGGCTTTTAGCAAGTTGGAATAGACCTCTGTAATCAAGAAAAGACAGCATTTATGATGAAATTTGGTCTTTACGAGTTTGTTGTAATGCTATTTAGCTTGATGAATGCTCCTGCAACATTTCAGAGGCTCATGGATCATGTTCTCAAAAACGAAATGTGAAAATTTGCCTTGGTGTATATCGTCAACATGAATATTTACTCTCTCGACTTAGATACTCATTTGGCCCATGTAAAGATCATGCTGTCTAGGCTTCAAGAAGCCAACTTGAAATTAAACCCAGATAAATGTTTCTTTAGGCAAAAGAAAATATCGTACCTTGGCCACAAAATTAGCAGTATAAGTATCACTACTGCTGAATTGAAGATAGCTGCTGTGAAGAATTTCACCAGATCAACAAACATATAAGCATTACAAAGTTTCTTGGACTTGCTGGTTTTTATTGCTAGTTTGTCAAAGATTTTTTGAAGATATCTGTGCCTCTGTACGTGTTGTTGATAAATAACGAAATGTATCATTGGAAAGAGGAACAAGAAAAGGCATTTGTGGAATTAAAAACACATTTAACAATGATCTAATTTTAGCACATTCAAGAGATGATAAAGAATTTCTTTTGTACACAGATGCATCGCATGTAGCTCTGGGGCTCAGGTAAATGATGAAGGTTAAGAATGTATTGTTGAATATGCAAGCTGATCAACAAAGCCCTAGAAAAGAAATATACCATCACTGAATTGGAGTGTATGACAATCATTTAGGCTGTGAAAAAGTTATATCAATATTTGCACTGTTCTTAATTTACTTTAATAACAGATCACAGCGTATTGACTTATCTAAACAATATATTAAATCTAACTGGCAGAATGGCTCGATACATTATAATACTGCAAAGTTATGATTTTATAGTCAAACATAAACTTGGGAAGCAAATAGGCAATATTGACGCATTATCTAGAGTTGCGTTTGACCCAGGTGGAAGTTTAACAGAGGTTAGAGAATAAATGAAAGATATAAAATGTGCAATTAAATAAGTGATGAAAAAAAATTTTTTTTTTAGTACAATTCAAATTAGTACAAACAATAATTTGACAATATAAATTGAGATTAGAATACTTAACTGCAGATGTATAATCAACACTTATAGATTATAAACAGTCAACTGCAATCGGAGTCATATGATTAAACAGGATGCTTGAAAAAAAAAATTAAATTAAAAATCTTACATATAAGTCAGAATTTAAGTGTATGGAAAATTGGAGAATGAGTAACATATAAATGGAATGAGATGTTGGAAGTAAAGAAATTATTACTTAACTAAAAATTAATAAATATAGTGAATTTGGGATGGCTATGATAAGTAGATGCGGAGAAAGAGGCACCTACAACTTATAATCTATTGAATAATTATAAAAACATATATCTACACAACACTTTATGCCTGGAAAGTTGAAGATATTAAAAAAGTAGATAAGTTAGAGACAAATTGTGACTACAAGAAATTGAAGTCTACAAACTTTGTATTCAAGATAGCAAGTCAAAACGGTGATTTAAGCGATATGTAGTAACTGACACTGACGATTTAACAAAAGAAATGTTAAATATATTGAAAAATCAGTCTTGATGATTTTGAATGAACAAGAAGCACATGATATGATTAAAACTTTTTGTGATAACAAGATTCAAGCAGAGCTCATCCTTCAAGAAGAGAAATATGTAATGCAACCAAGTTTCAGAATTAAACTTTAGCTTGTAGAATATGTATAATCTGTAGTATAACTCTATAATAGTTTATGTAAAGTTTATAATAAAGAGTATACTTTAATTAGACTTTTATATAGTTATATGACATACTTGTAAATAGTTAATAGTTAATTTGTAGTTTAATTAAATATATGAATGTAAACATATAGAACATTAGTATGTAGAGTTAGTTTTAGAAGTACTTTTAGGAAGTTAATTAGTTTTAGGAGCCTTTGAGTATTTTTATTTAGATTCTAGTAAGTTTAGAACTTGCTAGGTGGGTTTGTGAAAATAGGAATAATAGTAATAGTAGTGTCTGAAACATGAATAAATATATTAGTTTATTACTTTGAATACTTAAAAGAAGATAGTAAGTACTTGCTTTTTCTCTTTTTTTATGCTAACATCTCTGAACTAAATTAATACAATTTAATAAAGCCTCTTCTACTGGAAACAGCATCAGAATGTAGAATAGATTTTCTGATCACATGATTATTAGCCAATAGATAATCACAATTTAGTGTAATGTAACATA